ATAAAATAAACATTGATTTGGGGATTGTTAGGGATGGTGCCCTAACGGATTGCCGGAGGAATGAGAATCGGGTTTGAAATAAAGTAAACTCACGTTTTCCCCAAAAAATACCGAACACCAAATTTATTCCAAGAGAAAACCAAAGTAAAAGCCCGGAATTATTCTAATAACACGAAAAATATTTAATAAGGTAAGGGAGGCCTCCTCGAGACGCGTGGCCGCACGTCTCCGGACCCGTCCTCCAACTATTGCTGCGGGCTGTAACGAGAAAATCCGCAATCGAATTAGCACACGTCGACTCGTGTGTAAAAGTGCTGTTACTAATGTTCTATTCGTAGCAGCGAAGAATCAATGGTAACACACGAGCAGAGAACAGCTCTGTGCCTCGTGACTTGCTCGAGTATTTCGACCGATACCTCGGGTAAACTCGAAATGTTGTATGCACTCTGAGTATCGTCCTCGGTTGCACTTGGATGATGCAGAACGAAACTGCAGTGAGCCTTGCGACGGACACGTCGTACCACGTGGCGCACCAAGATAACTATCAATTTCTTCTCTTAGGAACTCGGTATTACGGCGTTACAAACCGCTTGACCGACGAGCCGTGAATTACAACATTACGTCCATACGGACGCCTGGTTGATCGACTGCCCAGAGAATGATAGCCGGTAGGACGTCACACAGAACGTATGTACCTCTTGGCACTAGTCTTAACCCGGATACAATAGAGAATTGCAGAGCGGGCATCAGCGGTAACGACCCGCGCAAAGAAGCTGCTCCTTAAAAGAGCATCCGCAAAGAGATCCGACTTCCAAAGTACGGACTCGTAAGGAGAGCGAGCTCGATCCAAGTACAGAAAACGATCGAGAGATTCTCTCCGAAGGAAACACCTTTGAGAATCAATCGGGGAAAAAGAATGATCGTGAGAGACTTACGTCTCCGGTCAAACGTCGTCGAATTAAAATCGAACCGACAGACCGGCCGAGCTACCTTGTTACGTCCTGATACAGGGTCCTTGCCTTTATTTAAAGTGCTAAAGCACACCTTGACCTAACTATCTATTTCAAATATCAAGGAATCTAGCCCTTTCACAGGGCTATAACAACCTCAGTCTCACGATAACTGAAATTCAGTGCGCGAAGAGACGGAATTACTCAACGTCTTAATATAACGCGATTTGGAACGTAAAATTCGTCAGCGAAAATACTTCCGCTGCACGAATATCCCCTAGTCGAGCAATCTAGGCTTGACCGCCGTAAAATTGCGTGCTAAAGTCCGAAAGAGTAGCTATCCTAAATAGCATAAATTTACCGAATCATTACAAATTCGGGTTAGGGAACTCCCTATTGCAGCTGACAGCTGTTCTAAGCCGAATCGCAAACGACGTCTGCACGGTGAAAAGCGGATTAAATCAATTCTAAGGAACTTGCGACGAATTCGAAGTCTCGACGCTCACCGGTCGACACACCGTTTAGGAATAATAAAAAACCGCGGCACACGTATCATTGCCGATAAGCGGCTCTCTCTCTAAACTATATGCTACTCTCTCGGACTCATGCTCCGGGCGTATACACGCCCGTAAGAGTCACCGCTCACGGTACATAAGAAATCGATCACTACTTCTTAATCCGCGAGCGTTAACAATAAAAATTATACCGGACCGTTAATTTCAAAATTCTCGCGAATACGTAATTATGTACTAATTTTCGAAGAATTAGTTGACCGCTAATTCCTCCGAACATTCATCTCCGAATATGCATTACGTTTATTACTACTTTTTAATTATATAGGGAGTCCCAAAACTAGTGTAAGATATTGAAATAGGAGGTTCCTGAAGTAATTTCAAACAACATTTACCGTAGCGAGAAAATTGTCCGACGCGTGGTTCAGGAGTTATTAACAAAAAACCCCGACCAATCAGAACGCTCGGTTGGTGCGAGCTCTAAATCGGGATTGTTGACTCGGATCCGGACACCCGGCCTTTGACACGTGACCAAGCGCTTCGCTCAATACGAAGCGTTTTAAGGAAATGACGAATAACAAACTACATGAATAACAATGCAAAGAAATTTAATAACAATTGATACATTTAATCGTTATTCAGATGGAATCGATGAGGGAAAGATGGATTGTTAATAGGCCGGGCGTACGGAGTCAACGCTCCCAATTTGGAACTCGCGCCAACCGACCGCTCCGATTGGTCGGGGTTTTTTGTTAATAACTCCTTAACCACGTCTCGGACAATTTTTTCGCTAAGGAAAATATTGTTTAAAATCATGTCAGGAACCTCCCATTTCAATATCTGACACTAGTTTTGGGACACCCTGTAGACTCAAAGAGTTAGAGTCGCACGATATTGAACCGTTGTTCATCGGAACGCGGACGTCGCCGAACTGCCTCAAAAAATTAAGAGAACGCTAGAAGAGACAAAAAAAGAATTTTCTTATCTAGCGTCCTCTGCATTCATTGCCTCTACCGCATGCCATTCCTACCCTCCCCAGAACTCTTAAAAGCGAAACCTTTAAACGAATGCTTAAAAGAAGGGAAGGACATAACGTGGGTTGCCGAGACTGTAAAATGCTTGGCTTAAACAACGTTTAATAGCTTTCTTGTCTAATTTTGTTCGCAAATCCACAATCTATTGAACATTATTTATATTGTTTTCGATAATATTACAAATTTTGAGAATTATACCACAATTCTGAATTGGAGGTCATTGAAAATTGACCGCAATGATTCAGAGATTTTCTCAAGGTCACACATCACTGTACAAGCCGGTATCTTGTGCAATCTCTTAGCATGTGATTTCGTTTTACTAACAGTATTACTGTCTTTGTCAGTGAT